ACAATGCTTCACCGAGGAGGTGATTCGCGTTTTTGGATCAGCTTCCTACCTAGTAAGGTTTGATACAGAAACCTGATGTTTAACCAATAGTTTTAGCTGCGACTCAATAGATTTTCGGACAGCAACTAGGATACATATCATATCAGTGAGTTGAAGATGATTAAAAAAAGTAAAGGCTTACACACCCTAGCATCTCCTCCCCTCCCTCTCCTTTCTTCTTCTTCCTTTTTTTTTTTTTTAAGCATTGGACAATAAGGCATACCTTTAATGGAGCATATTCTGTTCGGAAAATGATTGATCATTACAAAATTTCAGCTAGCAGGGTCCGGTTTTGGTAGGAGAATGGTAGTAGTCCGCTTAGCTGGAATATAAGTTACCGCATGTAGGGAGTAAAGGTTTCTGTAGATCGGTGGGTGATTTTTGGAATAGTAATAGGGTTAGCAGATTGTTTAAGTAAGCGGTAGTATATAAATTATGAGTTTGATTAAGTGTCCTTTTAGGAAGAAAAGGCTGTAAGATTGATCAACTACCGGTTTTTAAGGTCTTAGAGTTCTATAGAGAACCTTTATTCCATCATTTCCTCCGTAGGTAAAGTGTTGACAAAAGTGGTGGTGGATCATTCAGCGAAGTAACGATGAAATATGTAATGGGTGCTTGACAGTCTATATACTTATTCTATTCCATAATATTCATGCTGCTAAAGGTAGATAGTAGATTAATAGTGAGATGTGGGAGTAGTAGAGTTGATTGGGAGAAACGAAATGGAGCGAGACGGACAGGATAAGCAGAATACGTTATTCGTTAAAATATGACATTATATTGTGTCCTCTTTCGAACGAATTCAGTTTCAGCTGCTGCCTAAGAAACCTAGGCATACCCATCCACTCACCCATCCACTCGCCCCATATGCGGAAGTGTGCTGAGATTCAAACTTGTTTATAATGAGCAAGGTGTGCCTGATATGCGGAAGTTTGCCAAGATCCATACTTATGTATAATTCCGATGAGCAAGGCGCCTTGATTGTGTCCTTATCGAAGAAGTTTGATAAGTGTGCTGAGATCCATACTAAGTCTTATTTTCGATTGTGATGAGCNGCGCCTTGATTGTGTCCTTATCGAAGAAGTTTGATAAGTGTGCTGAGATCCATACTAAGTCTTATTTTCGATTGTGATGAGCAAGGCGCCTTGATTGTATCCTTGTCAGAGAAGTTCGATAAGTGTGCTGAGATCCATACTTATTTCTGATCGTGATGAGCAAGGTGCCTTGATTGTGATGAGCAAGGTGCCTTGAGCAGCACAATCTGCGACCCCCACTGATGGATAATCACAGCAACATAATGACGTCGACTCCTTGTTGTGTTTGAATGTTGGAACGTCGAAAGTTCCGGTGGGCAGAGTTGAGGAAGGGAAGAAGGGAATTACCGCACTTACTGCTTCGGGATTGAGCCTTCCCGCAATCCCCCATATGGGTGCCACATAGTGCGCCGGCCCGCATCGGGGCCGACTACCTTAATCCAGGCCGACTTCATGTCGGGCACTGGTCTTATGGGTGCCACATAGTGTGTCGCGTTGCGGTGGTACGAGCGGAAAAAGGGATTTGAACCCCCAACCTTACGTTCCTCACACATGGCTTGTGAATGATGTAGCGTAAGCTCACGCCCGTGCCTATATAGGCCAGGCGCGCGCTCGCAGCGGAATAACCAACAGGAAAAAGTTATGGGTGCACCCGAGCAGTGGGGCGGAACAGGCAGTTGGACAGCAGGCGACCACTGCGGTGAATTCTGAGAAACCTGTGCCCCCATAGAGTTGCTCCCAGCGAGGCCGTTATGTGATGGCACAAGGGCGACTCACTGCACGCGGAAACGCAAGCAGCACCGCGGACGGCACGTGGAAATGCACGATGAATCTCACACCCGCGACTGTGTCTAAAACTGCCATGCACCCCCAAAAACAATTTCCACAAGTGGACTAATTCTAAGAGCAGTGCAAAAGCAGAACAGGACGAGCGCAGGTGAAAACGAACGAGCACCGTCATCGAAATTTCGGATATCGGCGGACTACAGCCTCTTCACCACCGCCCGCGACAAGAGTCTTATGTAGGTTGTCGTACATGCAATAATAATCATAGAGCGCAACACGAGTTGTTCCATTGCACAAAAAGAGAGTGAGAGAACGTCATTGAAGGGTTAGAAGACACGCGAGAACACAGATGCCTTCAAATAGCAAAATTGCAAACCGTCGTTACAAGCAAGGAGCAGCAATCCAATTTCACGCCTTACTTTCCACACACAACATACAGAGGAAGTGAATCGCACAAGGCACCGACATCGAAAGTTTGGATGTCGGCGGACTACAGCCTCTTCGCCCCCCCGACAACAATTTTTACATAAGATTGTTGTCGGGGGGGGGGCGAAGAGGCTGTAGACCGCCGACATCCAAACTTTCGATGTCGGTGCCCTGTGCGTTTCACTTGCAATAGAAATCATAGAGCGCAACACGGATTGTTCCACTGCACGACAAGAGACTCAGGTGACGAAGTCCACACATGAAAAAGTCATCCAACTACAAGAAAACAATGTTGAACTGCACGAAAATAGTACCACTGCCATACCGACAACGAGCATCCCAAAGACAACGAGATACATACCCAATGAAGAAAACAATGTTGAACTCAGAAAGACAGTCGAATAATGTCTTATGTTACCAAATACAATTGCCATAGAATGAAATACATTTAAAGAATTCTCTACAAGTCATTGAAAACTGTCAAAGACAATGTCCTTCCAAGAGACATGTTGCCAATTGTCATATAATAACAGGCAAATCTTTACTCGAGAATCTGAAAGGGGGTCGATCACCACGTTGCAACAGCGTTGCAAATGTCAACATGAACACCCCGCAACTAGCTCCATCAACTTGCCTTGGAACTCCTTCCACAACAATTTTTCTGACCATAGTCTTCCAACTCCTATCTGACCGGCTATGTGAGGTATGACGTTCTAAATACTGTACAATCAACTCGAAAACACTACGGTAGAAACTGGAATTGGCTTTAATGCGAGGAAAATAGTCAAAAATTTCGAAGACATTGTCCCTCAAATTAACGGAAAGTAGGATCCAGTGATCGTTATGTTTGTGCTCCGGAATGAAGATCATATCGAACTGATGCAGATCAACGTTTTTAACCCACCTCTCCACCCCAGTGTGTCCTCGAAGTTGCAGTATGCTGAAGAAGAAAGGATTGAAGCTGAAGATTCGAAGGCCTGATGGTCGTGCACGTGTCGCGGATTCCGTTGACCCCAAAAGGGCCATGTAGAAATTCACCACCTCATCATTGATCTTGCCATTGGCTTGCAAAACGGTGAGCATATCTTTCGCGGTGATTCTGAATTGATCATCCGCAAAGGAAGAGAGGACATGATGAGGAGGCACCACGCTGCGAGAAACATCGTCCATAACCCGCGAGACTTGAGACGCAATCGCCGTAGCGAAATGCCCCCCCCAGGCTGCAGGGCCTGTGGCCTGAGATTTACATCATCGACCAACGCACACGCGGGGAAGTGAAAAAGGAAGTTCTAAAGGTTGTCGTTCACCTCATGACACGTCGCTAAGTATTTTTCATACATGGCCTGACCCCTAGTCACAGATCATGGATATGTCCCCTTCTCCGCAGGTAGAAGGAAAAGACATTCGTCAATGGCTAAGGCATGCTCCTTCTCTCCAATCTCGACATCAACCCCTGATGCTTTTAACATATTCTTGTTTCTTGTCGTGAATCTCGGAAGTTTCTGCAATACACGTGCCGGATATTTCGAGAAACTCCTTTTTCGACACGACCGGACCCCTGTAAAACAGAGAACAGACAAAACCCGAAATGAATATATGATTCCCAGGAGGAGTTCGACGGAAGTGACAATATGAAAGATAATGTAGCCCAGAAGCATGCGTGCATTCGGACATAAAACGACGAGCGTTGTCGAGCCCGAGACCCCAGCACATGACGACGAAGACCACATCAGGCCAAAGAAGAGGAACGCCTACCAATGCTGAAGTTCGGATTTCGGCGGACTTGCAGCTACAACTAGCAGACACGGACCAACCAGGTTTGGTCCTGACACTGGAACTGCGGTGACCGGAGGAAACCGGAAATTCGAAGGGTATGTTTTCTAGTCCGCCGGTATCCGCACTACAAGTGCCAGCGCGAGGTGGAAAGTCGGCATTTGCCGATGTGCGGATTCCAGCGGACTTGCAGCCACAGTTCGCAAACACCGACCAACGGGGCGTGATCCACCTCGCGCCGACACTTGTAGTTCGGATGCCGGCGGACTTCAGAACAGACCTTCCGTATTACCGTTTTTCCGGCGGTTTCCGCAGTTCCAGTGTCAGGACTGCGCGACGGCGATGGAGATGGAGACGCAGGTGGTTAGTGGCCTTTCCGTGGACCACAAAGAATATGATGCCCACCACCTGGCCACGGCGGTGCATCCCCCCGACGGGTGCGACGAGGCTATCATGACAGTGAGCCCGGCGAAAACGACTCGCCGTCTTAGCGTCAATGAGGTCATCGATAGCGTACTGGGCGACGTGCAAGCTAAAACACTTTCGTCCACCCCGTCAAAAGACGATGCCCTTCTCAGCAACGAAACTTTCGCGGTCGGGGACTTGGCGCTCACCCAGCCGTGCTTTCCGGTACCCTGGTCACCGCTCACAGGAGGAAGGGGGGGGGTTGTTGGGGGCCGCCAGCACGTCACATCCCAAAAAAAGTGCACGGTAGGCACTCCGGCCCTGGCTGTCCTCGCCTTACCAGCGCCCACGTCGCCGACGAAGAAGCGGAAAGAAAAACAAGCTGGTAAGCATTGACGATTGTCGCGATGTCAGCACTCCCACGTTTGGGGATTGTCGACGCTGTCTGTCAACCCCCTTGTCGGTTTATGCCCCACGTTAGATGGACAAAATTCCGCTTCACTTGTCAGCGAGGACCAATTGGCCTCTTGTTGTTTAACACACCGTCACGCTTTATTTTGTGACCACTCATCCGCTCCTCCCTCTACAAGTCCTCTGTTGCCGTCTCGACTTTCTATCTCTGGCCGACACCTGTAGTGCGGATACGGGCGGACTACAAGACAGACCGTCTGATAAACGATTTTCGCAGCGATGAGCTTGTGTGCATTCGCACATAAAACGACGAGCGCAGTCTAGCCCGAGAACCCTGCACATGACGACGAAAGACCACATCACGCCAAAGAAGAGGAATGTTTACAAATGTCAAAGTTCGGATTCCGGGCGGACTTGCAGCTACAACTAGCAGGTCCACCCTTTCCTCGTCTGTAATACTGAGTCCTCCTTCTTCACCGTCTTCCCCATCGCGCAATGTAATCAACTCCTTCTCTCGCCCTTCGTCTCCTTCTCCCCCCTCCTCCTATTCTCCCCCTTCTTCCCCGCCCTCGACTTCCACCCATTCTTCCCCCCCGTCAGTCTCACGTGACTCGGATCCTTGCAGCCGCATCAAGGTGGATCCCAAGGAGCGGTCGTCTGTATGAACAGACGTAGCACCTTCCGCCGTCCCTGCCTCCTCCGATTGCAGGCACGTCACGGACGTAGTACGGATACCGGCGGACTTCGTCGCAAGGAAGGCGGACGGCGCTGCACCAGCAATCTCTCTCTGTGACTCCGCAGATCGGCCTTGTCGAAGGGTCGGCGGCGTCGCCTCCCGCACAGCCAGGGCGGTGCCCATCTCCGACGCATGTGCTCCTGTAGAGCTCCACTGGACTGGTACACTCGCCTGAACGTCGTCCGCCCTGGTAGGGATGCCCGCGGACTTGCCCTTCACGGCGGAGACAGGATCCCCTGCACATGAGCCCCGCCCCACTTCACCGGAGGAGCCGAAAGCAGTCCACGAGGGAAGGGCCGCCTGCTCCAGAGTCGTCGAAGTGCGGATGCCAGCCGACTTCGCTGCCTCCACGGGCACTGGGTCCTCCGTCTGCGAAGTTCGGATGCGGGCGAACTTCCTCGACTTGCCGCTCCCTGCTGTTGGGGAGTGTGTGACGTTCACCCCCCCTTCCCCCACCCCGCTGTGCGTGATCCTGCCCTGACCGCCAGGGGCAGGCGATGATGCCGGCGCGCTTCCCCTTGATGTCGTATGGCCACTGCCTCCGCCACCTCCTTCCTCGTGGCCACTGCCTCCCCCCCCTTCCGGCCCCGGGGGGGCTCAAAGGTCCTCCTCCCACACTACCCTGGGTCCCTGTCGACGGGGGTACTTTCCAGTTCACCTTTTTCTTCGAAGGGCTCGTCTCGAGGTCGTAGAAATCGTCAGATAGTTCCAACCACTGCTTGTCATGAAGTTCCTGAAACAAGCGATCAGCAGTGGCAATGATGGCCGGGTCGGCGGGCTGCAGGTTGCTATTCTCTTAAGTCACTTTGTCCACCACAGCACTCCTCGCGATATCCAAGTAGTCGGACTTGGCCAGGCGCTCGGACGACTTCCATTCCCCGTCAGTGTCGACTATGGCCATGACCCACTCCCCCTTCCGAATTGCGGGCTGGATCGTCCCCGGGTGCCAAATCATGTCATGACCCCAGTCTGCCTCCGTGGAACGCGTGTGGTCGTGCCCTTCGAAGTGGATGTTCTCATCCTTCCGAGAAGGATGTTGCAGGGGGACTTGACACCCTGGACGCAGAGGAGGAGGGGCAGCATGCCGAAGTGTCAATCTCGCCAACAACTTACTAGGGGTCCTCTGCATGGGCGTCGCTTGTGCGGGCCGGTTTGTTGAGGGACTCGTTGACGAGGAGGTCGGGGATGGGAGCACCGGAGCAAGGCGGTAGTCGATGTCAATTTCCTCGGTGTTGCTATCCTCCTCAGGTGCACCGGTGTCGAAGACAACACCGGTGAGGGACTCTTCGTCGGCGTCGATCAAGGCACCGTAACTCTCGAGCCTCAGGACCGGCTCGGATTCGACAAAGTACAATAACTCTAGTCGATCCGGGAAGTTCTTCGCGTTCAGGCGCGTGGCGCCGTGATAGTTGTCTAGCAGCGCCAACATGTGTTCCTTGCGGCGCATGTACTCGATGTCGGTGCCTCTCGCAGGCTGCTTCTCCAAGAAGAGGAACTCGTAGATCCTGCTCCTTTTCCGGGCGCTTAGTTTGAACCACATGTCCGTCGAAGGATCCCAAACGCGTCTCGGCTTCTCACACTTCGTAATGAACTCACAGCGGTATGCTCCCGAGTTGACCGCGGTTTTCAGGAAATCCAACGTGAATTGCAACCACTCCGAATTCCCCTCCAACGCGATGACCTTGCGACCACCCTTCAAAACCTCCCACACGACTTGTGCGTGCGCTTTCCCGAGGAACATGATGCCGTCCCCCTTTTTGCAAAGGAATTCCAGCAGATGGGCGAATTGTGTGGGGTTCCACTCATGGCCCTTGTACACCACGGGATCACGCCCATGTATCACGACGGGCCATTCACAAGCGTCGAACGGCATGTCGGATATCTCAGTGGGAGTCACTTTCTGAAGTGCCCCCACCGCGGCAGCATCACCCGCCGCTAACCTCGCGCCGTAGACAATAGATGTGTTCTCCCGCAAGTCGTCGCCTTTGAAAAGGATGTACATGCGGTCGTCCAAGGAGTACAAGTTGTGGCCGACACCGAAACTTTTCTTCTGCTGCGTCCTCCTCACCCACTTCCCGGCCATTGCCTTCACGACGGACAGATGGTGCAGGCTGGTCATGAAGTAGTAGTCGTGCTCACGGGGGACGAACGCGACTACTGTCCAGTGCGAGGGGAACAAGTGCTCCAGGAGGGCATTCAAACTCTCGAAGACTTTAGCTGTCCACTGTTTGATGTCCACCGGTTCGCACAAGTCGAGAACGCACGTGTGGCATTTCGTGATTCCGACCGCCCTCTCCAACTCCACAACCTTCATCTGCGCATCCAGAGGGTTGACGCCGAACGGAGCAATAGATGTGACGTCCTTCGAGTCGTTCCACAGAATGTGCACCATCCCTTCGGCCAGCGCGATTTCCATGCTTTTCGACCTGCTGCCGGTCAACATGGAGAGGACCTTGTTCTTCTAGTCGATGGGCAACTTCTTATTTTGGACTAGCTTTTCTGTTGCCTTGATCGACTTGTCGTCCTCGCAACCCATGTACGGCGGACAGTCCTTGAACAAGGAGTCGCTGACAAGTTTCCTGCTCCCGTCCCACAACGCTGCATCCAGCCCCTGCCCTTCAAACTTTGCCAAAATCGCCTCTCGTTTTTTCAGGAAGGGGTACTTAGTGGTCCAATCACTGTCTGGCCGGTTCTCATGCTTGAACTAGTAGTAGTTCCACAACCGCACCAATATGCGATCGCACTTCACCAGTTGCACTGCCTTGTGCATCCGCAGCGTCCCTTGCTTCGCCCCCGCTGAGGACCCTGTCTGCACCCAGACCACCTCGCAGTTGAGAACATCTTTCAACAACCGGCATTTCTCATTGTCGGTAAGGGCCTCCATGCTCTTCCAACAATGGGGATCCGGCTCGGTGACCTGGACGAACCAGTCGCCTGACTCTTTTTCCTTCTTGCCTTTCTTTTGTGGCCCTTCAATGGGGACATTGTAGACGAATACCTTTCGCCCGTCCTTCTCGTTTTCGATGTGGCTCACACCTGGCTTGAGGCCCTGCAACTTCTTCTTCTTCGCGATCCACTTCGCTCCTTCCGGTGCCAACAGTCTGCCCGTTTCCCATCTCTCGAAAAATTCCATCCCGGTTTCCCATGCGCTTTTCCATACCATCGCGAGCGGGAAATAGGATTGAAGGGCAGCATTCTGTTTCTTGATTCCTTGCTCGGTCTTGTCATCGGCGAGAGTCCACAAGTGATTGTATGGCGTCCTGTGGAGCGCCTCCGCACAAAATCTTCGCCATGCCTCCACCTCCGCCTGTTTCCCGCTGAGGTTACCCATAACAACTTTCGGGTAACCCAATTCCTTCCAACACCACCGAATGTCTCTCATGGAGAGTTTCAGCTGTCTCGGAGGGGCCTTCAGGTCTTTCTTGTTGTCCTCAGCGCTGACCAGAAAGTACCCCTCAAAGTCCTCGTCCGAGAAGTACACCATTCGTGCAGGCCAGCGCTTGAAGTTGTACCTCACCGCCACATCGGTGCCAAGCAGCGCCTGGGCCGCAGCCGCGTTATGCTGGCCCGCCACAATGAGTCGTAGTATTGCCCTGCCAGCTCGTCCTTTCAGTCCTCCGGCTTCAGACGATCCGCCCGCACCCCGGGCGTCGGCTTAACAAGCCCGAGAGGCGCGAGCTTTAGTGTCGGCAGCTCGTAAGTCTTCTCAGTCTGAGAGTAGGCCATCGTCATTGCATCAATAATGGCCTGTATTTGCACGGGATCCAAGGAACACTGGTTGTATGCTGCCTCCCACTCGCCGATGTCGATGACTTGCGACGGGTTAATGGCGAACTCCCGCTTTGTTCGCACGTCGTTTTTCCATTCCAGGAAGTATGCCGCGTCGATGTCGATGACACCTCTGGGCTGGATAGGGGCCGATTGGGGTGGCTTATGAGCCGACGCCGGGCGCTTTTGACTCGACGCGCCGACATGCCCCTCAGCTCCCTTCCTTTTCCCCCCTGACTGCTGTGGGGTCTTTGTCTTCTGCTTCTTTTTAGCTCCCGACGCCTCCCCCTTAAAACCTCCCCTTCTCTTTTATGTAGACTGTTGTTCCCCTCCCTCCCCGCCGGAAACGACGCCAACTGTCCTGTCCTCCGACCCCAAGCCGCGACCGCCACCCGACGTCGACGGCTGCTCGATGACCGTTGCCCCTCTCTCAGCCCCCGGAATTCTCAGCGTCCCGCGATCTCCGAGTCTTTGAGGCGAAACTCGCGTGTCCTCCTCTTCTTCCTCCTCGCTGTCATCGAAGCGACCGCGTTCCTCACCCTGCCGGGGCTGTACTGAACCACCGGAACCCATTTCCTCACCCTGCCGGGGCTGTACTGAACCACTGGAAACGAACCCGAAGCACATTGCACAGGAAGCGACAGTTCCAGGTCGCTCGAAATTTGGCAGGGATCGTCGAGGTCGAAGTCGCTCTTCTCGACCTCGTAAAAAAACTCCCTGGCCGAAACAAGATCTCCCTCCGCGACTGTAGCATAGAAAGGGGTCCTCAAAGCCCCCCCACCAAACCCCTGGAACAGATCCCACGAGAGAATCGCCCCTTTCGCACCTGCCAGAACGTCGCCCTTCGAATTGTAAACAACATGCATCAGGTAGCACTGCTTGTCGTGGTTTTCCGATGGCTGCCATCCCTTGACCGAGCCGAGCACTCTTCGTCCTTTTCTATCTTCCACGAAGATGACAGGACCACAAGGCGATTTCATGGGCTCGTCATCTTCGAGGAAGCACCAATCGACGAACCACTTCGTATGCGCATGATTCGACCACAATTTTGCGTTCGTCGACTCCCTCCCCGAGGTCCCCGTAGGCTGCTCCTCGCCTCTTGACGTAGACATTGTGTCTACACCAGACGTAGCGGAGGATGCATTCAAAAACAAACAACACCGCCAACAATCAGCAAATGGGGAACTTCGGATACCGACGGACTACAAGCCAGGCAAATAGAAAAGCAGAACACCGCAAAGGGAAAAGCAGGTGCGCTGGCGGCGAGCGAACAGCGTAGAGGGGAATGGTGGTTGTCGACAGATAGCGCGCAAACGGGCAGCTTTAGAACTCTTTATAGCATATGTTAGAAGTTCGGATTCCGGCGAACTTCGTCCATCGGAGGTCAAGATTGCGCACGTTTCTCATATTGCGGACCTCCTTTGTTCTTCCGGACTGGAAAATTCCAGGCCGAGAGATTGCGGGGACATGTGGTTACTATAGAAGATCGCTTTACCATCGGAGAATATGTATCATGAGCGATGTCCGGATTCCGACGGACTTCAGCAAATGTTGATGGGCCATTGTGACAGCGTCCGACCTTGTTCCACCAGAATCCGAGGCAGACAGTGCATGAAGTTTCGACAGAGAAAGACGTGTTCGCGTAGTTCGGATGTCGGCGAACTTCCTATCTTACAAACATCATAATGGTCGACAATTGTGCACGGTGATTGTGCATCATTGGGAATCAACTGGCTGACAGACAGTGTGCAACTACCATTATGCGAGAAACCGTGCCGGAGGGCAGTTCCGTTCGCGAGGTGCGAAACTCTGCTCGAAACAGACCCACATCAAACAAGAAGGTCCACCGAACTGACCACAGTTGTGAATGAGCATCCCGAAAGACTGCCCGAATAACGATAACCTGCGGGATCCGGGGGGGGTGTTCTGTTTGTGGAGTGCGAAACTCTGCTCGAAACAGACCCACATCCGACAAGAAGGTCCCAAAACCTGACCCCAGCTGCGATTGAGCATCCCAGAAGACTGCCCCTAGAACTGATAGCATGCGGGATCCATATGCTGGTCCATGAATTACTTGGACTGCAGTCGCTTCCTCACGCAACTCGACGAACCGCAGAGCGGCCTTGGACACACCCACGCATCACCCGAAATGCGAAGTTCGCCGGGATCCGAACTTCTGGAGGGGGCGACCGGAAGAGACAGGCCGCACTTAGTTGACAGGCTGGTTGAGAAGGCGAAGTCCGCCCACATCCGAGCGCGGACGAAACGAGTCGTCTGGGCAAGGGCGAACATGGGCCGTTGTCGCATGAGGCCGCGAGAAAAAATGACAGAGCAATATGAATCCACACTTGTGCGGTTACCGGAACCCGAGATGCAACGGAGGTCCACACGCACGTACGAGGGCTGGTGAAGGTGGGGGTCCGACGAAGGGGCGTAAGGAAACACACAGTCGGTTCGAAGGCATTGTGGAAAAGCGAAGTTCGTCGGGATCCGAACATAGGGCCGGTGCTGGAGAGAGACGCGATGTGCGTGACGAAGGCTATGCACTTTCGTGTTCAGTGCAATCAGCTGCGCGTCAGGAAAGCCACGGCGTCGGAGGACAGACAGAAGCGTGTTGAGATGGATAGATCGGGCTTTGCGCCACACGTGCGCCATATAGTTTCTACTATCAACTACTGCCTCTCTCACCTCTTGCTTCTTTTGCCCTCAAGCACGAGGTCTGACAACCCGTCCAGATCTGGTTACATTTGGGGTCCCTCGGGGATGAGGTCGTGACCCGAAGCCATACATAGCATTCATTGGAGATCCGTAAACGTGGATCTGCGGTTCTTTGATTGACGCATTCTTCAAAAAGACGGACATGTATTTCATCCGAACGAAAACTCTCGGTCGGGCGAAGGAATTCCCAATACAGTCTTGTATGTCAGACACTTTCTCTTCCACTTCATGCCACAACGAAAAATTTTGGACCTGCCCTGCTATTAGGAGGTCCGGCCACCCATCTACACGTTCTGGCCCGCGCGCTTCGGCGAATTTGGACCCCTCAATTACCACCTCGTTTCGTGACACAAGCACAACTGCATCGACGAGTTTCCTACTTTTGTTACAAGTGGCGACACACATCACTCTGGTGAAATCGGTTCCGGATACAATCAACCTCACACAACAGTAAGACACAACTTGTGGAGAAAGACCAGGGCAACGGAGCGGGTAGTGCTCTAGGAACGAGCAGTGACGAGCGCAGTCCAGCAACTCTTGTTTTCGCGAGCCTGTCCACGCGCGTGGCGACGACGTGACGTAGTGATACTCTAGGTGACTAAAATGGCGGCTAATGAAGCTTAGTGTTCTGCGCATACGGCTCAGGAACTTGTGTCCGAGGACAGCGTCAGGCAGCGTGATGAAGTCTCCAAACTCCAACATGTTGGCGAACTTGTACTGGCTTGCCCAAGGGCATCGACTCTCCATCGCGGCCCAATTGACATCGTGCCAACCGTCAAGATGCCTGTCCATGCACGGGACGACGGTCATCCACGGGTCCTCTTCGAAGTCCTCTCTGGTGGCTCCGTGGATCGAAGTCACGCCGTTGAAGTGCCTCACGGATTTCGCACAAGAAGGAAACGGTTCTGCCAAGCGCATGTGGGTCTCAGGACTCATGGTCTCCGGCGTCGAGAATATCGAATGCATGATCCGTGGTGTCGAGAAGTTCCCTTGCATTACGCACCCTACACACCACAGACACATATCAAACGAAACACACGGCCACGCACACAGTTGTAAATGGAGTCGGCAAATGACCACTCCCTTTTGCCACGCCTACACGTAGTAGGAAGGTCACGAACTGTATATTCACGAGGTTCCACACGCTTTCAAGTACTTCACATGCAGAGGGGAATGCGGCCCAATCACAGGGGACCCAATGACAGGGCGAATGACAGACGGAAACGTGATGTTGGCGACACCTGTCTACAACACCTGTCTACAACACGTTTAACATCCTGATTCGTAAACACCCCACAGATGAAGCTATGGAAAGTTGAAGTCTGTGCATTGAAATTATTCGGAGTCAATTCAAAAAAACATCGACAGACGCAGGTCGAAAAATGCACGGTCGCAATGCGAAGAACGGTCAAACCGAAGTGTTTGTAGGAAAGCGAAATTAGGTGGGATCCGAACTTTGAGAAGGTGCGAGAGACTGGGAGATAGAGAGCCCACCGCCACAACATGTTCGTAGCAACGCGAAGCGATTGCTTAATTCCACTGCCTAGGAGGGAAACCGAAGTCTCTTTGGAAAAAGGTCGATAATTGGTAGTCCGCCGACATCCGAACTTGTGTCCTTGATGCAATTAACGGGCCGCCGGAAACACCAAAGTAAGAACCTGCATCATACGGAAATACGAAGTTCGCCTGGATCCGCACCTGACGTTTGCACCAATATCCGTCCCTGCGTGCTTTCTGGAATCATGGCGCACAAGGACGACCACAATCTCAAAGGTGGCCCGACGAGAAGGCGGTTTCACGGTATTCTATGCGGCCGACGTCCGAAGCTCCGATCCGGGCAAGCGTGGTCGATGACTGAATTTCGAGGCCCCTCGAAGTTCGGATATAGTCGGACTCGGTTATTGTTCAAATCCAAGGGCAACCAGGCGAGCCACAGACAGGGCTCGTCCATAACTTCGTGAGAGCGCGTGAGAGAGCCAGACAAGGTCTGCCGAGCTCTCGGACCCGCAGTGTCTTGAAGTCCGGATTCTGATGGACTTTGCCTTCCACGACATTAAGACAACAACACAAGTTCGCCCGCACCCGAACTTGACGCGTTTCCAAACGGTCTTCGGCCTTTTCACGCTCCGAAAGTCTCATGTCTAGCTACCGATCGTCAGAAGAAGTTCGGATACTGGCGAACTTCGAGTATTTTCCATACCGCCTTCGGTCCTTTGATGCGCTTGCGGTACCGGACAGGCTTGCGTTGTTTTGCGAATCGAGTGGCTCATGAGAGGGTGAATGGGAATGGGAAGTTCACCGGGATCCGGACTTCGTCAGGTGGCGTTTTTTTTTAACAAATCCATATCAGGGTTCGATGGCCGACGAGGTTAGATGGCCGACGAGGTTCGATGGCCGACAAGGTTCGATGGCCGACAAAGGTTCGATGGCGGACGAGGATCAATCGACCGCTGCAAGATCTTCGTTCAACCAGCGATTAGATCGAACCCCTGTCGGCCACCAAACAGTCGTTCCGATTGTACACCATTCAGTTTCCAACGATTGATCGACTGCAGGGCGGATGTGTAGCGGGAGCGGGGGGGGGGATTGGACATCCGTTGATGGAACGATCAGAAAAGAAAAGAAGAAGACAGTGTCGCTCCGTTCTTCATTGTTGGTTTCGTCTTCCAGTCAATCAAATCGTATCGATGGAAATCATTCACTCAATTAAATCAACCATGTACTAGCAGTCCATTCTTCCGATTTCCTTCATCGTGTCGATGGATGTGCCGTCTAGCCAATATATTGTCATATGCTGGCTGAGAACTCGTTCCGATTTTGCTCAACCTGCACACAAACACAGACTGACATTGCCAAGTTTCAGGAGATTGGAACGTCTTTCCTGCGCTGCAATCACCAGCAATGGATTGACTGCTGTTCATTTCATCGCAGGCAAGTCCTTCCCTTCTATTGGAGCGTCGAAATGGCAGGATAAGCAAAACCGAGGCGCGTTCTCAGCCAGCCGATTGATTGATTGAACGATCCAACAATCGGATCGGACATTCATTGATTGGATGAACGACTCTGATTGGAGTGGAAAAAGAAGAAATGAGTTACAGTTCCTGTTGCATTTTCGTTATCCATTCAATCAATGGAAATCTCTCAATCACGCTCCACGCGTGGATTGAACGATCCAGGCGTAGGTTCATTCGATTTCGCTCATCGTGTCGATGGGAATCTCTCAATAAACCAAAGCAATCATGTTCCACGCGTGGATTCATTAGATTTTGATCATCGTGTCGATCAGATTCGTTTCGATTTCGCTCATCCTGCACACAAACAAAGACTTGCATTGTCGCGCTTGGGGAGATGGGAATGTGTCGCCTGAGATGAAGTTAACAACAATAGGACATAACATTGATTGATTGAACGATCCGCCTGACATTGATTGATTGATGAACAGCACCAGGACGGGACATTGATTGATTGAACAGGGATTGACATTCACTGACTGAACGTTCGGGTGCGGAAAAACAAATACATTAGCGCTCCGTTCTCCTTACTCGTTTCCGTCTTCCCTTCATTCAACCCAAACTGTCGTCCATGGATTTCTGTCAACTTGAGCAAGCGATCAACCGCGCAGGCAATCGATCAGCGAAATGAATCATCAGCCAGATCGAAATGAGTCATCACCCTGATCGGAATAAATCTTTAGAAAGATCGGAATGAATCTTCAGCTTGCGCGGTTGATCGGCTGCGCAAGATGAATCTATGCAAGGACCACACACTCGCGCACTTGAGCACATGTGCATACGATCACTCCGCTGGAGACGCTTGCATTGCAGATGCACACACTCGTTCACAAGACAGGTGGTGGGGAGCAGGTCGCACCTGTAGGACACACGCGCATTGCATACATGCCACGTCATGCATCCGTGAACAAAAACCTTCCGCATGGAGACACGCACATGCACATGCACACACTCATTCAGTCTACATAAACACATCCGCTCACACAGACACACGGAGTGAAGAGCGATCGAATCGAAACGGACACGTGCCAACTCACCGGATGAACCCGTCGCCAATGGAAGAATACGCAAGCAGGTCGACGCGCACAGGTGGATGACCACGCGAGCAGGTCGACGTGGTAGGTGGACGATAAAGCGATCCGCGAGGAATATGGCGTGGACAGACACGTGAAAGGTCGGCAACGAGTGCGGTGCGACGTGGAAGGTGACGTGGAACACAACGCGGAAGGTGAAGGAGGACGACGTGCGTTGGTGCGACGGAGGTTTGCCTCGTGCTGCTTGCAAGCTATGGCGCTCCGCCTGTGAGGGGCGCTGGTGTTGACG